AGCACTGGTGTTACTCTACCTATCCTTTTTGTTTTCAAAGTGTGACAAGATACACTTTTCTGCTTGATCATCATACAGAATGAACTAGAAAAAAAAACACTTAAACATTTAACACTTTTACAAAACCCAGGAAAGGATGTAAAACAAAGGGCAGCACTCACAGCAAATTTTCACATTTCAGAACAAGTGTCCTCTATATTGCAATGAAAAACAGAAATAATTACTATTCTACTATTGAACATTTTATAAACAAGACTATTATTGATAAATATTACAGAAACTCAAACACATACCTGGCTTTCTTATCATTTTCCAGAGCTTTGTTGATTAGTTCTGTTACCTCCGCTACTTTGACACTGGCAATTTTACTGCATCTTAGAACCTGCAAACAATTTTGTAACAAAATGATATGCATTTTTGTAAAATCTGTAAAATGCATTCTTATAGGCTATAATACAGCTTTCTGTATTACAATTACTCTGATAGTGATTTTGAAAATTGTTATTCAAATACAATATTACTGTTGCTTTACAAAAAACGCCAGAACAAAATACTGCAATAAACAAAGTGTTGCAAATTCACTTAAAAAGTTTTAAAAAAGATGTTTATCTGCAAAGTGGGAACTATATTTTAACACGCTTACAACCAATTACCAAGATAAAGATATTTTCCCCCTCTTAAAGAATTTTTGTCATTTCTATGAGCTTGATAAAAAATGAGAATACAATGGAAACCAGTTTGGCCTGCAGTGGATGACTGACACAGCTCTCTTGCATATGAATGGAGTTCTTACTTGCTCCTTCAGAAGCATGATTCCTCCACTGGACTGGACAGAGCACATTTCTCTGTGTTTGTTCATTGCTATTACCAGCAACCCATCCATCACCCTCTCCTCACGTTCGCAGGGATCCACCAACAAATAGGTCCTGCAGGAATATGATAATTTAGGCAGTGATTCATTATATATCAGATGCTCGTAGATGAAAACTTATTATCACAGCAGCATGTTGAGTTTCTAGATGGTAACATGATGAAAACCTGATTGCTTTCCAAATTACATCTAGTGTTAACAACAGCAACAGTGGACTGTTTCTAAAAGGCAAACATTGTGCTTGCTCCCCACAACAACAAGGGTATGAATTAATCAGGCAATCATACAAACAGAAGTTTTAATTTTATCTAAAAGTAACATAATACATAATGTGAGGGACAGACATTTTGAGCCTCAGAACATCATGGGAGTGAGGAATAGCATACTTAAGGCAACAGGACAGAACAGTAAAGAGTATTTCAGTCATGGACAGACAATGTATAAAACTGATACACAGAGCATAAGCAATTTTCTGTTAATTGGAATACTAATGGCATATTGAAGTCATCAACAGACATCTACATCTGAGCAGTCATAAATATCAAGTAATTCCCTGCTTCCTTGATTAAAATGTTTTGTGCAGAGACTGTGCAAAGAATAAATGCACTTTCCTGTGTGAAGCCACCAGCACACTTAGCTACTGCTGAAAGCCTGTTTTCCCTTTATTAGATTATGAGCAGTTTTGTATACCGAGAAACATTCGTTTGTGCCTTTCTCAAAATACTTCACAACACATTTTAGACATTTATTAGAAAATGTCAGATAACAGACACTAAAAATCTAATTGTTTACATAAGAAGAACACCCCTAATAACAGTGATGGAAAACAACAAACATTTACACCAGAACTAAACAATTATCATTAACACTAATGAAAGTTTCACCACCACCCTCATGATTTAGTACTTTGCTGCCAATTTCATTTCAGTATTTGATAATCAAAGAACAACATGTATGAGATATACAAGTTGTAGATGCCAGACTAACCTAAAACACAACTGAATAATGCACACAATGCACTGTCCTTGAGGGATCAGTTTTTACAGTGGTGACTTTCAATATCTAATGCATTCAAAGCAGGGTATTACAACACCAATCCATCTTTGCAGATGGGAGAGTGTGGTTTGGGGTCCTGTTCTTAGAGAAAGCGAAAGAGAGGGGGAGGGAGAGTGGAGAAACAAATGTAAAGAAAAAGTTGATGGTTAGGAACTGTGCTTTAAATAGCACACAGATAATATTAAGCAGCTGGGGCTCAATAAGACTTTGAAATCCTTAGATGCCTTGTTCGGTGGTTCCAACAACTGTGGTCTGCTTCACTGAACACTTACCCTTGCTCAAAGAATGAAAAACTGACACAAATGGGCATATGGTAGATGCTTAATGGAACTGGATCTCTCTCTTCTGGGGTGAACTGTGAAAAGACAGCAGAAAGCCCACAATCATGTTGGATAGTCTCTACTGTAGTGGCTGCCATTCACACCCTGCAGGCTTATAAGCCACAATCACTGTAAGAATACGAGTCCACAAATTAGAAGTCAAATACAGACTTAATACCCATCTCTCTCAGGCACCTAGTTCTGCTGTGGTCTTCACTGGATTCCACAGTCTTTGCTATTTTGGCAGCATGGCATTCACTACTTCCTTATGTTTTTACATCTCGCATCTAAAATTTAATTGTTTATTTTGATGACAAATTCTTTAAATGATCCCAATTAAAGTTTGCAAAGATATTTCATCCTTTATGAGAAGGTCCTTTTCTGAGTAGCAGCATACCACCTTCTCAAATGTGTGGAGACACCACTTTTTAGAATGTCATTTGACTGTGCTTGATATGCACATATAATATCTAGCAGTATTAATTATTTTGTACATGTTCTCTCTTAATCATCCAAGGCTGCAAGATCTTATATTCTTCCTATTAGGTTTGAAGACCACTCAAGAACATGGTTTGACTGACAGACTGGACAAACTGGAGCTTTCTACTACAGAACACAGAGGGCTACAAGGGGATCTGATACAAGTATTCAAAGATCCTCAAAGACACTGGATGAGACAGCCCAGGGGTCTTCTTCAGAAACCTGAGGACACAAGTGAAAACAATGTAGAAATGCATTTAATTCTGACGATGGAGGGCATTTTATACACAAGGGGTACCAGGAGGATGGAACAAACTACCTTTTCAATGTGTGTGTTTTTATTTAAGTTGAAAAGGCTGGCTGGTCGGTGGTGAATAGCCAGGTAGGCTGCCTCACAATCCTCTCTGTACAGAAGCCAAAGGTTTTTGCCATTGAGCAGCGGAAACTAAATCATCAGGACAAACGCAGTATCCATCATGTAGAGGTGGAACACCTTTATTTTTTCCTCTTAAAAATGAAGGTTCAAGGTTTGTTCTTGCTCCATTTAACCCCACCATAAATCCTGCAGGCTTGTTTCAATCTAAACAGGCCAAAGACAAGTCGGAAAAAAGAGCTGTTTCAGCTGAGATTCCTGGGTCAGACTAATGGCTTCATCCTTTTCAACCCCTTCAGGCAATCTGATAATCGGAAGACTGGATCTCTGATTTCTACCCTAACTGCCCCAATACAATCCTAACTCTCCCTTTTCTATGGCTAGAAAACAGACTAAGCATAAAAAAACAATGTTCTCCACACTCCAGATAAAATGGAAACAAAAAACATCACACAACAAGTAAGAATTCTGGGCTGGATAATACATCTAGCTTAAAACATCCTATAAATGTTAAAAATGTAATTGCAATGACATTAGTGACTGGCTGTGATACACTCCAAGGACTCTGTCCGGTTGCATTTGCACTGAATTACCTCATTAATAAACTGAGTGGGCGCAGGTCATGGGGTGATTTAAACTGTTGAATGTCAAAGCTGGTGGTAGTGAGGAAAAATAAAAGGAGAGAGCCGGTGATACAGTCTCCATCAGTCTCTGTCCATGTCTTGAGTTTATTTATATTTAAGGTATATCCTGCCTATCAAGAGAACAATGCCTTTGTGTCATTAGTATGATGGAAGCTGGACTGAGTCACCTCGGGCAGACATGTAACAGTGGAACCAAGTCCTTTTTAGAAATGAATCAAGGTATTGTTTAGACCACCCTAATGGATAATAGCAAGTGCGGCGCAAATGTGCAGGATGATGCACTACTTAGGGGCGAAGCGGTGGCTCTGTGGCTAAGGATCTGCGTCTGTTGCTGGAAGGTTGCCGGTTCAAATCCCACAGCCAGCAGAGGAATCCTACTCCGTTGGGCCCATGAGCAAGGCCCTTAACCCCAAGTGCTCCAGGGGCGCTGTACAAATGACCCCAAGTTTCTCTCTCCCTGTCTGTGTGTCTGTATCTCATTGAGAGCTAGCTGGGGTATGCGAAAAGACAAATTCCTAATGCAAGAAATTGTATATGGCCAATAAAGTGATGTTATGTTTGTGTGCAACAGATCAGTGGTTCAATGGGCAGGTCAACGTGCAAAGATCTGGACGTAGTGACTGACGGCCAACCGACTGCATAGTGCTACATACAGTGAACCTGATCAAGTCCCTGGACCTCCCTTGTTCCTTTTTCTGTGGGCTCATAACTGACACGACACAACAGCTTTCCAGGACAACACTGCACGGCATTAAGCTACTGGCGTAACAGCTCTCTTTTGACATGGGAATGTACCCGTTATGCAGGGGATGCCCTACTTGTTAGACCCCACTGAAGAATTAAGATGGGATGTGTGCGGCATCTAGGGCTCAGGTACCAGTGAGCAGATACAAGGTTCACCAGGCTCTGCCAGAGGAATGGCACAGAATTCCACAAGAGAGCAGCTGTAACCCAGCTCTAAAAGAAACCCTTGCAAAAAAGAAAAGGCTGCTTTTGTGGCCTTCTGGCCACAGAGGAATTCATTGTGAGAACAATTGCTTGGAAACTCAGCCTTGTCAGTGTTTATGTGCTGCCGGGATTCTGCTGCTTTCAAAAAAGCAGAAATTGTGACACAAGTAATGGAATACAGAAAACATACAGCTCAACTCTACATGTGAACACCACATATATAATGATGGATGATGTTTTTTTTGCAGTTTTTCTCTGATGGTAGCAGCTAGTCACTGTACTTATATATTCTGGCATATAGTATTATTTGATGGATCTAATACATATTTGTAAAAATATCCTCAGTTGTACACCATACAGATACTGTAATTATTCCATCAGCTAATCAATAACATGACAATATACCTTTTTAGTTCTCAAATTTGTAGTCACTTTGGAGAGGCTAAGTCACTATAAGGTTTTTACAAAATTGTTTTGCTACTGTTTATTTTGTTACTGTTTTTCACATCAGACAATTATCCTGGAAGCCAATGCATACAGAGGTTGAAAACATGGTGATAGTAGACCTCAGAGGCCTCCTGCTTTGTTTCTATGCAAATGTTGCCATGACAACCATGGGTCTTTATTTACAGTGTTGTAATGTTGTCTCCATTAGTTTCCCTCAGTGTCTCTCACAGCTTGGCCTTGAGGCCCTACTTGGGCTAAAATGTATAAGAATACAGAAGTGCTCTTTAGTTCTGAAATACTGGCAATTGTTTTCCTTCTTTCATTGCTTTACGGTTTGTCATAAATCACTGTAAAGAAACATACTGAATGCTACTGAAAGAAACAGAACTGTCACATTTCTTAGAGAATATCTTACATGAGGTAGCTTGAAAATATTTCATAACGAACAATGATACTCATTAGAGGTAACAGTAAGAAAAAAATAAACATTTCACTTTCTCAGTGATAAACAGCTAAAATCATTAAGAATTATTTCAAGATGCTACAACATCAGGATGAAGGCAGCTTCATTTTAGGTACATTAATGACTTTATAACACTTTAAAATGCGTAGTTTTAAATGAACTTATTTGTACGTCTTGCACATAAATTGTTCAAAATGGATTTCACAAGGTATAAAAAAATCAAAATAAAATTAAAAAAACAAACTAGTTGGCAGTTCATATTCTGGGTTTAACAGATTAAATTGATTACTTTCTTTGATGCTGAATGTGTATTAACTAGCAGCACTAATGAGACTGTATATAATTACCCCAAATAAACAGCTATGCTACATACAGGCACAATTTTGTGACTTTTACTTAAGAAAATCCACAAAAAAGAAGAAAAGAGCTTCTTCATCCCTAATTTGAGTACAAACTTGCTTGGAGCCACAGCATAACACTCACCACAGTGACCTCCTCTCCTTGGACGCAGACATCAGGCCTTCTGAAGTGACACAAGGCTGTGATTGCAGCGATGCTGGAAGCGTCCATGATGTTACCATCATGGTTCAACACATGCACGTCTACTCGGACTTGCCACACCTGCAAGACACCCGACACAGACGGTATCAACAAGGGCAGCGTGCTGGTGCAGTGCTGGGCACTGCTGCCTCGCAGCACTGGGGCCCTGGGTTCAATGCCAGACCTGGGCTGCTGTCCGCGTGGAGTTTAGCCCCGGTGTGAGTGTGTCTGTGTGTGCCCTGCACTGCCCCGCCAGCAGCCAAACACCCTACAACTCACAACTGGTAACCCACTAAAGCTCAGCAGGTGTGAGCCTGGTCAGTACCTGGATGAGACCTCCTGGGAAACTGCTGGAAGATGTGTTAGTGAGACCAGTAGGGGGCGCTCACCCTGCGATCTGTGTGGGTCATGATGCCCCAGTATAATGATGGGGACACTATACTGTAAAAAGGCGCCGTCCTTTGGATGAGATGTAAAAACCGAGGTCCCGATTCTCTGTGGTCATTAAGGGTGTAGGGTTGTTACACCACTATCCTAGCCAAATTTCCCATTGGCCCTTACCATTCATCCGAATAATCCCCATCTATAAATTGGCTTCATCACTCCTCCCCACTAATAGCTGATGTGTGACAAGTGTTCTGGTGCACAATGACTGCCGTCGCATCATCCAGGTGGGGCTGCACATTGGTGGTGGAGGAGGGGAGTCCCCATTACCTGTAAAGCGCTATATAAGTGTAAGCAATTATATTAATTATTATAATGGAGTGGCATCCCCTCAGAGTGTACCCTGCCTTGCGGCCCATTGCTTGCCAGGATAGGCTCCAGCTCTCCACTTGCAACTCTGGACTGGATAAAGTGTTTAGAAAATGGATGGATGGATCAACTACCAACATCCTCTTTTTAAGGTTCACAGAACTAATAACAACAAGAAGACTCAGGTTATTTCAACACTTAAAGACAAACCTGACGTTTAGACTCATTTGAAAATCACCTTCTCAGTAAAGACTTTGTGAAGTGGCATTCATGCGTCACGAGCATTCCTCTCTCTAGAGGAGAACTGTGGTGTTATTCCCCTTTTCGTACTTAAAACAGCTTAAAACACACAGTACATACCAAAGGAGGAATCACATTTTGAGTCCAGCCACATCTCAGATCTCTAGATCCCATTCACTTAAAATAACCTCCCGCTACCACCCTCCATTACAGCCACACCAGAGAACAAATACCAGTAGAAAAAAAACCAAAATGCTGGAAAAGTAAGTTTAACCCTTCATCATTAACATACTTTTCTCTTCCTGTAAACAAATTATCGGTAAACAATATAATTAATATTCATCACAACATTTTACACATTACACAGGACATACTGCATAAGAGGAATGAAATCTTGGTCCTGGAGGACCAGTATGTCTGCAGGTTTCTAGGTTGCTTTAAAACACCAACAAAGATTAAATTGGCCCAATTAAACCAGTAAAAGGTTGTCATATAGTTAAGAGCAGAGCTGGAATGAATCACCTGCTCTCTAGACCTTTCTTCCTAGTATAAGAAGATTTTTTTTTTACACCCTACCAGTTACCCAATGCACAGTGCTTCAGTGTGCTTCAAGGACTCAGTTTGGTCATTAAAAAAAGTATTTTACCTTCGCACCCGACACCACACACAGCGACTCCGTGTCTATGCACTTCGAATTCCTCAGACACCTCTCAAGTTGTCTGTTTAACTTCACAAGTAACTCAGACTGCCTGGAAAACAAAAAAACAAACAAACGTTTTTCACAATCCATACCTGCAAAAATACCCAAAACATTAGGGTAAGTTAAGGATAAATCTGCCTCACATCAGAGGTTAATATCAGCAAATCAAACTTCTTATACATTTACTAAACTTACCCATATGTTTTAATAGTTCCTTAGGACTCTAAACAGGAAAGAAATAGAACTTATCTCCACACACATTTAATGGACACTGAAAACATTTCCTCAGAATGGGAAGATCAATAATCCTGTTTTCACCATTTTCAAGGATTTTCATAGTTGCTAAAATATTGCATTCCAAAACGGACTGACAATACATGTCTTAATCAGCTTTACGACTATATATATATAAGATAAATAAAAAGTGAGTTCTTACAGATCCTTCCTGCTTTTACAATTATATGCTGTAAAACTCATGCTATAAATCTTTTAATAACAAAATCACAACTTTAGAGCTATAACCAGACACGGGTTTTACCTCAGTGCAAGAGTGCTCACTAAACCAGCCCTCCTTAAGTGCACTGGTCAGGTACTTTTATGGGATTTGTGAGTCACAGAAAGTGCCACCTGCTGTCTGATTAACTAAGTTACTGGTCTATCAAAGGGGAACTGCAATGCTTTGATCTTTCAGGGTTAGATAGACTCAGCATTGATGAGTGCATTTCAAACCACAATGAAAGTAAAATATGCACAGTAATTTGTAAAAACCTCCAACTAACATCACAAAATAGACTAAAATTCCAGGTATGCGCAGTGCCATGTTCTGAGATTCAGAATCAGGCAACAAAACTTCCAGTGAGGTGTTGCAGCCTTATTACATTCTAAAGAAGCAGGCTTGTGAATACACCTCTTTGAATCCAAATGAAAAATTGTTCTCAACTTTGAGACCGTTTTGCAGACAAACACTACTTACACGTAGCTCTGCGCACAGATCACGTTGGAACATTACTGAGGCGAAATGTCTGCTGCACAACATGTACTTATTTGGTCGTACATCACATTTAATTGGTCGGTCATTACAGCAACTAGTGAGCAGGAAGGGCTGGTTCACGTCTCAATGCATGGGAATTTGAGTGCGAGTTTGCGAAAAAAATGTCAACTTTCAGTAATTTCACATTTTTGTGCCGAATTCGAAATTTGTATAATTTTTCTATAACGTCATGTATTTATTTTGTCACAGAGATTTAAAGAAACATTTTAAGATATTGGGACTGCAGTTCCCCTTTAATTGCCTCAAAGAAGTGTTTGTTCCTTATATTAACTGGCTCCATTTAACTTAGACTTAAGACCACATGATTAATACCACACATATCAAACTTTAAACAGAAATTATGCTCAAATTGTTATATTAACTGTTTATATTTAAGTTAGTCTAAATGCTGTCACTGAGTCTCCCTTAGTACTGCTATTATAATAACATGTTCTGCTAAACCTAGGGAGAACTGAAGCCTGTTTTCAGCATCTCCCTGGGACACAGCTCTCTATGGAGATGTATTATTAAAAAATAACAATCAAGAAAGAGGAAACCCTCCTGTGATACGTGCGCCATGCATCAATGACCGCAGGACTTCCGTATCACACCGACCAATCAGAGTCTGAGTCTGGCCTTGAGGATACTGGTACTCTGCCCTCTGGTGTCCTAAAACTGTGCCGTTGCCTGTGGCCGTTAAACAGCACACACCTCAGGATCAAACGCATGCCATAGATACTCGATGGTAATTAAATCTGATAAGATAGCAGGCTAGGGATGCACGACAGGTTTCCGAGGAGAGTCCTTGTCTTATTGGCCCTTAGAGCTGAGCCATGATAATGCACCGATAGAATCATCCAAGAAACGTGTTGCTGGAGGAAAATTGCTACATGTTGCTCCTGCTTTTCTTGGATAATTCAGAACGGGGAATGTGTGGTAACTTCCAGACAGATATCCTTATTGTCTGTAACTTTCTGGCAAGTTACATAATGTAATCATAATTAATCACTCTCTGATTGTTAAGTCTTTATCATCTGCAATCAGGGAGCCTGCTTGTGTCCTTGGACTGGCTTAACCTCACGTTTGGCGAGGTTACAATTCCCATGTCCTGTAGGTAGGTCCCTTTTCAGGCCATAAAGGCCCATGGGGAATGGGGGGCAAGGGCCACCATTTTTCTCAACCAACTGATACTGGAGGTGGGGGTGATGTGTTCAGCATCACGCTCCCGACGGCCTATTACCCCTGGAAGGATAAACCCCCGGTACTCATGTGGAAAGCCGGCTGAGTGGACGTGGGAGCTGTCTGGAAGGAATTAGAGCAAGCTACATCACCGGCCCCTACCTGGGATTGAATCCAGGACCTTCCGGTCAGGAGCCAGACGCCCTTGCCGTCTGAGCTAACATGGCTCCCCGTGTCCTGTAACATTACTTTAATATGGAGATTATGTATTATGTATTTTTGTTGGAATTAAATGCTATAAAAATACTTTAAAAATAAATGTGTCTACGTTGGACATTTATATTAGCTGGGGGGACATTGTTAAACTGTAAACTTCAAAATGTTTAAGGTCTTTAAGGTAATATTTTTTACATTTGTTCAGCCCCATAATACTTGGATAAAGCACCCTTTAAATCACAATGTGGTAAATAAAAGTGAAGTTTTCTTTTTTGGACTTTTTTGAGAATTTATGTTCACACCACATTAATACTGGTATTTGTTAAGGAGCAGCATTTGTTTGAAAAGGGAAAAAACAATTCAGTATTTTGGAGACGCCTGTCCTGTTGCTATTAAAGACTTCAGGAAGTAAAGTATTAAGATAAACTGGAAACAAAAGGCAACCAGAAGGTCAGATACAATTGCCAGAAATGCCCCGGTCAATTTGTGATTGCTCACCGCTCAAAGCCAAAATGTTTATCAAAGTGGAAAAGCTTGTGAATTATTCTGGTCATGTATCATACACATCATAACGATCACAAATTATGATGTGCTGATTCCCTGATATGCATTAAAAATGTAAGCGCATTAGTACAGCTGTAAAATGAATCGCTCTGATGATGCATCACCCTGGGTCACGCTCACCCCCGGCAGGAGCACAGTGGAGCAGACCTCTGCTCACCTGTCACTCAGTGCTGCTGGCCAATTTTACTGATACTTTGAGAGATTATTTGAGAGAAGCAGCTCCAGGAATAAGCACATACATTTCAAACACATTCTCATAAATTATACCTAAACTGTAGCTGCCAAATCAATCACAGTTAAACTAGGAAGAAAAATGAGACAAAGAAGTACAATTATTCTTACAATGAGAAGAAAAATGATGAGACAGAAGACATAACCTATGAAAAAAGACTTAGGTGTTTATAGTAACATCACTTACATCTTCTAAGCAAAGGGGTGGAACAAAATGCAAGGATATATAGTTAAAATCTCCCAATTTAAATCAAGTGATGTTATGCTAAAACTGATTAGCGTACAAGTAAGGCCTAATTTAAAATACTGTGCACAATTTTGGTCACCACATCACAAAAAAGATATTACTGTTCTGGAATCAGTCCAGAGAAGAGCAATCGGATACATTCACTCCGGGGCTGAAGGAACTGAACCTTTTTAGTCTTTAACAGAAAAGACTACAAGGGGGCCTGCAAGTATTCAAAAGCATTGAAAGTCAACGATCAAGTCAATCCGGCAGATTTAACAGTGAAAAACGAACCAGGGACGTGAGTGGAAACTACATGGAAGCACATTTAAACCCAAGCATAGGAAGCTTTTCTCTATCAAAAGGATTTTATAGAACGAGCTACCCAGCCATGCTGTTAAAGCCAATATCCTGCATTCTTTCAAGAAATTGCAAGATGAGACCCTGGGATTAATTAACTACTAACTACTAAACGGGTTGATAATGAAGCACTAAACACAGATCCTCCCATAGGTTTAATTAACAACATTACATTGTAAAATTAATAATCTCATTCTAAGACTTATGCAGCCCAGTAGCATGGTTGGCTCATTACCACCTTACAAGCTATTCTTGTCAGGTCTCAGAAACAAAGAAAGGCCTTTTCAGTCTTGCTATTACAGAGATGCGAGACCTTCAGGGAAATTCAGTGCTGGCCTATATGACTTTCACGAACCAGAGGCGACACTCTTCCCACCCAGAATTTATAAACCAATATACCAGTGCAGTACCAGAGATGCTGGAATATAAGAGATGACATTCTCCGGGTGAGACATTAATCCAATATCCCAACTACAGATTTGTTCATTAAAGATCCTGTGATACTGTCTGAAAGAGTAATGTTAACTCTCATGTCATGCTAACATCCACTCTGAGCCTGAACTGGTGTCCAGTTAAACCAGTATTGAATCAAGTGCAGTAATTAATCCAATTAATCATTATAATAACTGCCTCACCACTCCAGGATCCTGGGTTCAATTCTGCCAGTGGAGTCTATATGTAGTCCCCGTGTTTACATGGGAAGAAACGCAATGCTGCTTTGATTGGCTGCTCTAGACTGTCCAAACGATTTTCTGGGGAGGTGATATCTGGGAGGTTTGATCCCAGCACACCCAGTACTGGCTAAGGGAGAATACAGAAATATACAGAAACAGGACCAAAGGAGCTCAATGGGTCAAATGGGTCTCATGTGTGACTCTTCTGACAATTCCTTTGGCCTAGCAATTGTGGTGATAACACGTAACAGTATTCTACTCAATCTCAAAGTGCCGTAAAGATTTAATATTTCTCCTCATGACTTTTCTCTTGTCAAAAAATACATGGTAAATTATCAGCGAAACGAAGGATGTACTTTCATATGTAGCCATATCACCCTGCAACCCACAACCGGCAACCCACTGAAGCTAAACAGGTAGGAGCCTGGTCAGTACCTGGATGTGAGAGCTCCTGGGAAAACAAAGGTTGCTGCTGGAAGAGGTGTTAGTTGGACCAGTAGGGGGCGATCACCCTGTGGTCTGTGTGGGTCCTAATGCCCCAGTATAGAGACACGGATACTGTAAAAACACACCACCCTTTGGATGAGACGTAAAACTGAGGTCCTGACTCTCTACTGTAAACAGGCGCCGTCCTTCGGATGAGACTTAAAACCGAGGTCCTGACTCTCTGTGGTCATTAAAAATCCCAGGGCTTTTCTTGAAAAGAATAGGGGTGTAACCACGGCCTCCTGGCCAAATTTCCCGTTGTCCCTTACCAATCATGGCCTCCTAATAATCCCCATCTATGGACTGGCTTCATTACTCTGCTCTCCTCCCCACTGATAGCTGGTGTGTGGTGAGCGTTCTGGCACACTATGGCTGCCGTCGCATCATCCAGGTGGGGCTGCACATTGGTGGTGGTGGAGGGGAGTCCCCATTACCATTAAACACTTTGAGAGGAGTGTCCAGAAAAGTGCTATATAAGTGTAAGCAATTATAATAATAATAATAATAATATCTACTGCAAAATGAGCACATTCTAGTTCCACAGTAATATATCAGTACATATAACTATAACACACTAAAGTGCATTACATTTCTTTTTAATGCATTGCAGCTCTAACTAGTTTGATATGTGGGATGTGTGTTGATTAATTATGTGTAGTATTGTAGGTCTAAGACAAGAATAATATACAGCATACAGTAACAACAGAGTACATCCAAAATGAAAGGCACACAGATAAGACAGTGACACTCACTATTTTACTGGGTTTCAAAATAACATGGGTTTCCTAACTTTTTTCTTTAAAAAATCCACACTGTTTTCTTTAAATTTGGCATCCTTTGTTATTTGTCTGAATTGAATTCCTTATTAAAATTATATTTGAAGAGTAGCTGGGAATTATACCTGCTAGGTTCAAAAGCAGGGGAAGCCATCTGTGATAGCTCCAGGTTGAAAAAGAGAATTCCTTCTGTTGGGCGATTTTCTTTCGGAGCGACAAGTTCACAGGAAACTTGAGCCAACACTCTGAAAATAAGATAAGATCACTTTATTAGCCATATACAGTATCTTTCATTATGAATTTGTCTTTTCACTCAAAAGGATGCAAAAATTCTTCAGTAAATTCCTAACTGGATTACTACAGATAAAAATCACAGTTGGACAGGAGAGCTTCACAAAAAGTAAGTGATAAAGTATTTTTCACAAGCAATTAAGTGCTGTGTTAAATTAACAAGGTAATCACAAGATAACAAGAGATAACAAAGAACATTAGATAGATAATACTTTATGAATACCGTAGGGAAATTAATGTGGGACATTACACTTTCATTGTACATAACTGATCTGTGAGAGATAGATTTTTCAGCAATGATATCAACAAAAAACAACTATAGGACAAAAGTAAAACTAGAACTAGACCTTTGGCTGAAATAACCAAAATTTCACCCTTTAAACTTTGTCCTGTGAAACAAACAAATTCCTCTCATTATAAAACCACCTAAAGACTTAAAGTTTCACATTTGTAACTGCTACTGAAGTAGCAAAGGTATGGAAACAGCTCCTTTTAACAGCAATAAAATGTCTGCTGCTATCCTACAATGTGTGCTATCCTTACAATTCAGGTGAATAGTTTTCCAAGAGAGTTTGAGAACTGCTGCAGTACTTTTCACACTCAGCATCATGAGAGATGTTCTGGTTCATTTACACAATACTTACAAAATCCATTCAAACACAAATCAAACTATGAATACATGTACTTTACTCTCTTCTCCTTAAAAAAGAGGACAAACTGTCAGAAATACATTCGTATTAATTATTAACACAGAATTGGTGAAAAAAGTGCAGATAGCAGGGAATGGAGCAATGCAGGCATAAATGTTCAAATTTAAACACCAATGTGCCTGAGATCACATTTAATTTGACTTGCTGAGAATTAAGCATTCAACAAGATTTCTTATCTTTCATTAAAACTCTTAATTTATCTCTCATTAATTGTGGATTAGACAAACGTTTACCTTGTTTTTCCAAGGTCAACAATGCAACATCCATACTGTGTACCAAAGGTGATCTTGATATTTCTGTAATCATACGTTTGTCTTCCATCTAGGCGCTGAAACAAAACAAAAAAAAATGTGATATTTATTTCAAAGTTCCAAAAGTTTATTGAGTTATATAGACCATATATACCATACCGTTAGAACTAAACACAAGCTCATGTTAAAATACATCTCACATTATCTCAAAAACTAGAATAATGGACTAAAAAAATAATCATTTTCAATTTTGTTTTACAGAGCCAACAAATATTATTTTATTCTTGTACTCCTTTCTCAGTTTCATATCTTTATATATTGAATGGAAGTGTTGTAAACAAAGAGATTATTTCCATATATATTGTTTATCAATTAAACTTGTAACAATAAGCATGTTCTTTTTTCCCCTTGATTTTACAGTGTTTTATCAGATATATTCAGATGTCAGGTATATTAAGAGAGTAACAATAAGTAGAAAAACAGCATGGAAGTGTATTTTTAACAGAACATTTAAGATCACCAAATGAATCTAAAATGTTCACAATTAGGAATCTAGAAGGAACAGTATGTTTACAAAGTGGACATGACGAGGTTTTTTAAATTAGTTTCCATCTACAAATGAATGTGTCATATTTACTGAAGAGCCTTAGAAATGAACTGACCATCATACTGAAGATTCACTCAGGAGCTAATGTATTTAATAAGCAACAAAATGCAATAGTATAAATAAAAATAATAAATTATGCACAAAAATAATTTCAGATATTAACAAATATTTCAGATTATGTAGAGTTTTTTTGCAGATATAATTTTTTGCTGATTTACAAGAGATTACCTCTTTTTTACATTCACATTTTTGGACCTATTTATACAGTTGGATCTGCTGGTGCACTCCGGATACAATCGTCATATCAAGAGTACTGCCGCGGCACGCAAACCTGTCAGGAATCCAGAGATTTAACCACTACTACCTCAATATTAATGCAGGCCTAAGAAATGTCCCAGTAACTAACACCTTCGAAAACTAACAACAATATCAATAGGTCACAACCTTGTACCTCTGCCGGGTTTCATTCCCGCTGAGCTCTAAATCTCCAGAGCTAACCGATGACTTTAATGATCTGCTTACTTGTTTAAAAGTATTTAGACTCTTCCTAGGGTGTCTCACTTTGGGAAATCACAAAACTATACACTTTTTTAAGAAATCGAATGCACAAAGTGAAGACTCCTAAGGGTAAGTTACTTAAGAGAAAAAAATGAAATGTTGATTGCGTGCGTATTCAAAACCCTGATCTCAATATTTCCTAAAAAAAAAACACATTTAGCTGAAATTACTGTCACACGTCTCTGGTTAAGTCTTTACCAACTATGCACAACAATCTTGCCCATTCTTCTTGGCAGATTTGTTCAAGCTAACTAAAGCTCTAAATTATAATCATACCTTTTTCTCTTTTATGGCTGTCAGGAGGAACTGTCGTTCACAATTGGACAGCGGCGTTTCCCTCATTCTGAATTTCTGCAGAACCTGTAACTACTACACATGGACTCTCTGTTTCCCCTCACGACATGCACTAGGCGCAGACGGATGACGACACATATGATGCGACGTCAATGTGAAGTCACGTGAATGTGAAATGAGTTTCGGTTGTAAGACACTATACTATATTAAATACTGTATAGATTTCTTTGTACCTTATATATCTTTGATTTTACGCCACTGTTCTCAACTTTGACTTATTTGACAGCTGCTTTCTTGGCGTCACGTTGCCATTTCAGCGTGCACATTTTCCGTTAAAAACGTGCCTTTAATAAAAGGTAGCTGCGGGAGATCGCTAGTACAAAGTCAAGGAGGGCCTCGAATAAATTCAGTCACCTATTTTAATAGAAATAGTTTTGTCTGACATCTATGAGATGTAACCTCCCTCCGTAAATGTAGTCTGGTTTCACTGAATGTCATTGTTTGCTTAAAGCACAGTGTGGCGTCAAATAGCCAGCAGTCTTCCGCTGCCAATGCAGTGATCCGTATGATACACAGTCACGGAATTTTAAATACTAAATTCTTCATCTACTACCATTAAAACGTTTAAAAAAACAGCGTCTGTTTAAACCACAAATGCAGTTCGATTTTTTATTTATTATTTTAGAATTCAGAAGTAGGAAGTTGTAATCGTATACAGTTGTCCGTACACTTAATACCAAATGCGTAGTTCAATTTTCCCAGAGCTTTTATAAAATTTAACGTGAGGTAGTACCTGAGATGTTTGAAAGGGACATTAAAACAGCTGCAGAAAATAATTTCTATTGTCATCCGTCTTCTGTGTGTCAGCCGTTTTGTCTACCTGTCAAAATGTTTTTGGGCTGAATCATTACGTTGTCCTTATATTAGTGCATTTTGTGTCCTTAAACTTCGAGACACACGATAACTTTCTGAAAAGCTCATGAAACTTGGAAATTTAAAATAACAAGCCAAACCTGAGGTACGTGTTTTTGGGATTTGCTCCACTAATTATCAAACTGCTCTAAATCCTCCATTATGTTCCTGTACCAAAGAAGGACAAAATAACTTGTCTAAATGACTACAGACCAGTTGCTCTTACGTCCGTCATAATGAAGACTTTCAAACGCATGATACTTTGCTGTCTCAAAACTGTTACAGATTCACATCTTGATCCTCTACAGTTTGCATTTAGAGCCCACAGGTCAGTGATGATGCTGCTACCATGGGCTTTCACTACATTTTGCATCATCTAGAACTCTCAGGTGTGTATGCAAGCATTCTTTTTGAGGCTTTTAGTTCTGCATTTATTACTATCATTCCAGAATGACAATAAATTGCTATAGTTGAATGTTCCCCTTTCCAGTGGATCTTCATCTTTCTCCCTGAATAGAAGGCAAGGGCTCTGTAGGTTTGTGAATACGGGGGGTCCTCAAGGACGTGTGCCTTCCCCATTGCTCTATTTGTTGTACACCAGCAAGTGCATTTCCAGCGACTCTTCTGTCAAACTAAATAAGTTTGCAGATGACATCACCCTTGTAGGTCTCATCACTAATGATGATGAGGCTTTGTACAGGAGGTCTGGATTAGTAGGTATCATGGTGCTGTAGCAAGTACCCAGAGCTTAATACCCTTAAAAGAGTAGAAATGGTTGATTTCTAGAAACATTCTCAAAAGCCTCACTCCCTGGTAATTCCTGGTAATCAATGACGTGGGTGTCTGTGGTGAACTTTTTGGGAATTATGAACTCTAAATACCCTTAAATGGGACATGAATATCACCAGTATCAGAAAGAAGCAGAGCAGAGAATGTACTTTTTGCACCAGCTGAAATCTTGGGTATCTCTCAACTAATTCTAATACAGTTTTACAGAGCCATTATAGAGAGCATTCTGACTGCCTCCATAACTCAAGTATGACAGTACCTGTGTCAGCATGCGTGGGCTGTAAAGGAGGAGGTAAAGGTTTATTCCATGCTAAAAAGAAGAAAAGAAACACAACATTTTGGCCATGGAGCCTTCTTCAGGTGTGACACAATGTTTCAGCCATGGAGCCTCACATTTGTGTGAAAGAAATGATTAAGCACATAATAAAACAAATCATTTTTTAAAGGATGATGTATCCGTTCAGAAATGAACTTTACAGTTTAGCTTTACAGTTACATACATGTGAATGCACAAAGTAATAAGAAAATGCTGTTATTGTTATTATTTGGTGTTTGCTGTAGCCTCCTGCTTTACAGACCAGTGTTATCAGTCAGACAAAATGTAATGAAATACAGAGTAGAGTCTTGGATTGTCAGTGTTTTGACCAGTTTTTTAAATATTGTATACTTCACTTTGATCAATAGAAAACATTATCTGTTTCTATATATCTAATATTAAAACAGTCCTATTGTAGGAGTTGTAGTGTGCTGTCTGACATAGTGATCTCTTGATTAGAAAAGAATATCATGCCACTGCAGTCTTTATGAGTTTTGGTAGTTAATTTAACTCAAAGTATTTTAGGATAGCTGCCACATTACCTCACTGAAAGTCATCATTTCAAATTAACTGAATTAAAAAGGTTTAGGCTTAAATTTTAAGGAAAATCCAATTTAAAGTAATTGATATACGCGGTCAGAGGAATTATAAAGCCTGGCACACAGTGTATGTGTCCCATAATCGCCAGTGATGATCACTATCAAGTGAAAAAACTGACTTGCTTCAGTGTGGAAGAAGAAAATCTTCTGGGCAGGTTCAGCCATGTGTGATGGGAAATACAGAAATGTCACTGTGTGTGAGGTGCAAGCAAAGCAATCTGAAGCATTTAATCAGACTTTGGGTAACTACGTTTTTAAATGGCATTTGAAAAAAGTACATGTTTTTCTCAGCTCTGGAGTGGAAAGATCTGAAGGACATGTTTGTTTAGACCAGCATAGTGCTGCAGTGGTTAGCATTGCTGGGGCTCTGGGTTCAATTCCTAGAGTGCTGTCTGTGTGGAGTTTGTCTGTTCTGCCTGTGTTTGCATGGGCTTCCACCAAGTGCTCCCATTCAGTAGTCCAAAGACACACTGGGTTAATAGGCTTCTGGGAAAATTGACTCTGGTGTGAGTGTGTGTGTCTGTGTGTGTCCTGCAATAAACTAGCGTCCCACCAGTGTGTATCCTGCCCTGTGCCTGGTGGGATAGGAGTCACCTCTCCGAAGACCCAGAATTGGATAAACAGATTAGAAAATGAATGGATGTTTGTTTATACGCTGTTTAGTTATTACTTCTTCTGTACAAGCACCTTAATCCCAGTGTGAGGATGGTCTTACCAACTATTCCTTGCCTTTGAAGGAAATCCATTTTCATACACCTGGATCTTTATGAGACATTTATTAAGAAGAAAAAAGAGAAATATCATCTACTGCTAAGCAGGCAGCACTATGAAGGTAAACTTGTTTTTACATGCAAAAAGGAGCAGGGAGTTTATTTTGGTTTCCTCTGAGCAGGATTCTTGTCATTTAAATGGTGTGCCAAAGGCTTTGAGTAATTAAAAAAGAGACTGCAAACATTCACTTGGCACAGACCTAGCACTTTTTTCCAGCTGCCTCCATTTCCCCCCAGTTTGAAAGATTGTGTTCAAACAGGCGTTAAGGAAGGTCATCTCTTCTGTTAACAGTAGCACAGTGAGGGCCTTGACCTTGAGCACTGTTATAATTTAATTCACCCATGGGAGACTTCCAGATTGAGTACAACACATATTGGGCTTTCATAATTAGTACCCTCCGTTGCACAACAAAGGTTTTGCTTGCTGTTGAATCCTTGGGGAAAACAATATGTAATAATGGTCATGAGATCCCTGCAGAGGGAGCCATAAATATTGATAGCACCATGTAAAAACTATTGAAATTGGTTTTATAGCTGTAATTTCCGGGCTTCATCTGGCAGCTGCATATGAATTAATGATTACCAACAATGTGGTGTCCTCATGAGTACCATGGCTCAAAACTGAAATGATCATATGGTTATTTACTGGATTCAGCACAAAGATGGCTGTCTGTATTTGTATTGTTTCTGTGTTTCAGACAAGGTTTGTTGGTAAGTGGTAAAAGAATCCAAAATGACAAATTGAACATAAGAAAGGTTACAAAATAAGGCCATCTATCCCATTTGGTAATTAACAGCCAGTTGGTTCAAGAATCCAAAGGACTGAGTCTGTCAGAGCCTTTGAGGATTAGGAAGAATCGAATCAGGCTGCCAATGTAGTATTCTTGCTAGAGATACAAAGACCTGGTGGAGCAGTGCCACTCAAAGAGCTGGAGGGCAGGGTACACGCCCATTGAAGTAGACTCCAAAGACGCTGAATAGGACCTACCACTACCTGGGCATCACTGGTGGTCAGAGGGAGAAGGCTATCTAAGCTGCCACTGAAGCCATGGAAAAAGCATCACGATGGTTGTGGATCAGGACAAGGAACCCATGGGTGCTACGTGGATGCAGGCCAGGGTCTGATCGGCCTCTGTTAGGTTGCCTGGGGGGAGGGTGTCTGATGTTGAAAGACCCGAAACACCCAATGATACCAGGAGACATCACTGATGATGCAGGATGTATGTTACACATTCAAGACTTAAAAGATTGGGAAATGTTAGCCTGTCAGTGTAGGGCATTCCTTTAAGGTCCGAAATACATCTGTTTATTTTTCTCTGGTTCCAGAACAGCAATATATTTTTTGTAATGTGGTGGCCAACATTGTACAGAAAACAGAATTTTCCAAAGTCTGCAAAAACAGTACAGGGTTTACCCTAAACAAAAAGTCAAATTTATTTTTGATGCCATTTGTATTTTCAGTTAATTTAGTAAACATTGTGTTAATAAAAGTCATAAATATTTGGAATGAGTCACAAAAATGCTAGCTGTTTGGCTTTTCATTACTTGTATCATGTAAACATCTTTCTTGTCTGGTTTGGTTTATTTGTACATTTACTTATGATGATGTCCTGTACTGTTTTAATGCAGGATTGTGAAAGAAAAAAAACTTTTCCCATTAAATTTCTAATAAAAATCTCATCCTATGTTGCCTTGATTGCTAAGCAAAATCATCAGTGTTTCTACTTATTTTTAATGATCTT